TTGAACGTTTTATTTTTAAACCCTCTATCACAACTATTGTACTTTTTAAATAACGTACGTCATTAAAAAAGGAAAGTACATTATCTCTTTTGTAAAATATTACTTTTTTGTTATTTCACCTAAATTTAATGTTAACAATTAAGAGGTTAATTATGTGAAAAAGATATGGCTTAGAATAATTAACTTTTAACTTTGATAAGTTAATTTAATTTTTCAACTTAACTTTTAATCTGGTCAGTTTTTTAAGTAACTTTTAATGTAAACTCAGTTAATTTATGAATCGTTAACTTTAAAATTAACTTGAAAAAAAATTAACTTACCCAACCCTGAATAAAAGTAGAGGGTCTTTCGAGCGAGGACTGAGGATAGTCCGGTCGGACGAGGATAGAAGTCGAGAAAGAGAGAGAGAGAGAGAGAGAGAGAGAGAGAGAGAGAGATATTTCGTACGCGTATTCCGACCTAGTTCCTTGCCAATCCGAATGGTCGCAAACGCCAGGAAACTAAATTGTGGGAGCAAAAGTATCTAAAGAATAGAAAGTATTCTTTCGGTGCTAACATATTTACTAAAATCTAAATTTTTTAAAATTTCAGTAGGATAAACTAATGTTCTTTTGCCTGAAAAAATTACGGTTTTAAGAAAATGAATATTTCTTTTCTCGAAAAAGCGTTTTCTCAAGCAATGAAAGCATGTGTATTAGTATAAAAAATCTGTTATTAGCACCAAATGAAAGTACTTTTTAAATTTTTAGATCCTCACTCTTTTAGTATATATAGAATGTCTGATAATTAATATCACACTACTACTTTCGTGTGGATGTATCAAACTGAGCAGGAAAAGTCTTTGATCTCTTTTTTAAATAAATTAGAAAGTTTTGCAATAATCATCAAGAAATTAATTAAACGGTATTAGCGAATAAATGCGGAAATAATCGAGCGAGCTTTCTGGATAACTCACCAAAGATATCTCATCTATTAAGAAGCTTGGATGAAACATTGTCCCACTGCTTCTCATTTCTCACTCGTTAATATCACTTAACTCCTGAGCAATTATTACGACATTTGCAAAGTGATACAAGACTTCCTCGTTCAGTCTGGTACGACCTATTCGCGCATGAGGATTGTGTCATTGTCAGACACCCTGTACATAAAATCTGGTTTCAACGATAACACGCTCGTCATGTTCTACGGCCGATGTCGTTTCACTTAACCGTAGCTGAACGGTGTCTAGGTCCCACACAAAAGAAAGAAAGATCTCATTCGTCAGCGCAACGGGGGACAGAAACCAGAGGAAAACTCGATATCGAGAAATGATATCTTTGTTACCGCGTGACAAACTCCCCGACCGAAAACATCCGTCGGAAAATTCCTGTTTTAGAACTTCGTTTAAGACAACTGAGAACAATCGATTAAACGGGAACTTGCTATTTATCTGTCCTTATAAAAGAGTTTTCGTTATCCGCAGAAAATCAGTTACACGAACAACCGAGTTCTCTTCCTTCGTGCACGGATCTAGAAGACTCGATAGGCATTGTGAAGCTATTTGGAAAGGTTTCCGATGGGAACAATTCCGTTCTCCCTGGAAAACACAATGGAAATCTAGGCATTAATTGAACGATTCCGATCGGAAACCTTTCTGAATGGTTTCATAATGTCTGCCTTGGTCCGACTGCTCGGCGTTTCATGATGTGAGTCGCTTGTTCATGTCAGTGAGATAACGGGATGGGCATATCTCGAGAAATATGTATTCTCCAATAGCTTTTGTTTTTTCTACAAAGAGACTACACGGATTTTATTTTTCACAGTTCAATAATTCAGAGGTTATAATTTCAGAGCTATATAATTTTTATGTGTCATTTTTTATATTATATAATTACGTCAATCTCTCCCTTCTCTCCCCCCCCTCTTTCTCCCTTTCCTCTTATAATATTTTTGATGTATACTACAAAGAAATGAAACGAATCTTATTTTCTACGGTGCAAAAGTCCGGAGCTGTATCGTTTTTGTACAATCATGCCGTTGACAAAATTAACTTTAGAGATAAAAGGAATTAGTTGTTTCTCTCTATGATAAAAATTTGCTTTGAGATACTTGTACAAACGAAGATGCTACAAATTCAGGCTGACTCAGGTGCCATAAGTCGCGGTGGCTACCGGAACTGTCGGTATTGTGTCAGTATTGTGTCAAGAATCAAAGGCGTCGACCGTGACAAAACTGTCAGGCTAGCAAGAAAGTCATGTCGTTTCTTTTCTATGTAAATGAAAAGCGACTTTTTCATACGAAGAAAAAACATTGTTCTGTAATATATTGTCCGTTTAATTCAATGACCGTTTGCCATCTGTTTGGTAGCTTCATGATCCCGGCATCGTAGAACTTCTGATCCTTATCGGCGACAAACTGATCCAAATACCGTTTGATAGACTCATCAGAATCGAATTTTCTTCCCTTCGAGGAATTTTGCAAGGAACGAAATAAATGGTAATCTGATGGTGCAAGATCAGGCGAATATGCTGGGTGTGGTAACACATTCCACCCATGCAACAATTTCTGGCGTAACCAACTATGTAGGTGGTTTAGCGTTGTCATGGTGAAAGACAACACCTTTACGATTCACCAGTTCTGGGCGCTTTTGCTTGATCGCTTCGTGTAATTTGTCCAATTGACGACAGTACAAATTCCGAATCAATCGTTTGATTACGTTTAAGCAGCTGAAAAAACACAATACCCTTGTAATCTCACCACACAGATAGCAAAATCTTCCTTTGGTGAATGTCTGCTTTAGAAGTGCTTTATAGCGATTCGCCACGATATGCTCCACGATCTTTTTCGTTCCACATTATCGTAAACAATTCATTTCTCATCGCCAGTTAACATTCGTTTCAAAAACGGATTGTTTTGCTCACGTTTCAGGAGAAAATCGCTGATATTAATGCCTTTAGTGAGATGAATTTCTTTGAGCTCAGGTGGAACCCGAATATCAAGTTTGTTGACGTATCCAAGTTGTTTTAAATGGTTTTCAATGCTCGTATACGATACGTTTAGCTTCTCAGCAATCTCCCGTGTCATATAATGGCGGTTGGATTCAAGCAATGCTTTTATTTTGTCGCCATCGACCTCAATTGGCCGGCCTGACCGTGGTGCATCTTTCACAGAAAAATCTTCTGAACGAAAACGAGCAAACCAACGCTGTCATTGGCGTTCTGTTAAGGATTCCTCACTATACACGACACATAACTTTTGACGGATTTGCACAGCGTCCTCTTCTTTTTGGAAGCAAAAAAATAAAATATGGCGGAAACGTTCGTTTTGATTTTCCATCTTTAACTTATCTGCCAAGCAAACAATTCTTCACCGAATGACACACTTTCCTTTTAATGAAAGCTTGTAGTGAAATTTCGTTAATGTCGAGGAATATTAATTGCTTACAGAGATTATTGATGTTGAACTAAATATGTAGCGTCATGGTACAAAATTTTAATTGCAAATTTCGAAAACGTAATTTTTGACGTATTAATAGAGCGCTTTTGTAGCCGTCAAAAATTATACTTATAATATTTGTTATATTATTATATAATTATATTTAAATATATTATTATTTTTTTTAGTTAAATTTGCAGTTTTCATATTTTGAGGAAACAAATTTTCTAATTTCTCATAGTAAAATTTTCTTGATATCTCCCTCTTAAAACCATCTTTTATATCAAAATTTTGAATCAGTATTTACACCTATCTGAGTGACATTGTTTTTAGTGAAACAACACAGAATTTTTAATATAAAAATCCGGGGAATTTAAAAACCTAATAATGGAAGAAACGGGACTTTTTTTTAGGTCATCTCAAAATTCCGTTTTGAAAATCCGATTTCGTTCGTAATCCGATTCGATTCGCGGGATCATTACGTGCGAAGAGCAAATAATAGAAGCAACATAACATTGTAATATCATCATCTTCCGTCTGCTGGTTTACGTCATCAATTAAGCCGAGGAGTAAAAATTCCCGGTTTACGTATCGTGCCGCGTCACTCGGTATTCTCTTCCCGCGATCAATTTGCAAGCTGCATGACACAGGCGTGAGCGAATGTGAGAAAAGATCCAATTATTATAGCTTATCGACGAGAGGCTTTCCGCTTATCGCGGATGAGAACCCCATTGTGACGTACAAGCCGCGAAAGCGACGCGGTAAAACTTTACAATTAATTCTGGGATACGATCGGTCGCGAGAAGTTTATTATCGCGCGGAAAATCACCTGCGTGTGTGTAAAGCGGAATTATTATTTAACATAGACGATAAAAGTGTGTCCTTATCCCCCGGACGATATCCTGCTCCACATCGGCTGGACACACTGACGTCGTATTTTAGCCCGGTATTTGCATTCTTTCGCATGCCGGCGGCCGTGATTCACGCTGATGCAGACTGATCTGTATCCTGCAACGTTGTCTGTATCCTGGAACGCATGTTGTTCCACATGTCGGCAGCTCGCTCTCGAGTGACTCATAGTCGAGATCGAGATTGATAGATCGCGAAGTTTAAAGCATTTTAGCGCCCGTAATTGCTCCATTAAAAATTTAACTGCTCATTTAATGTGACGGCTGTTAAGTTTAATAATACGTTCGAGATAAGGCTACTTATAGATTTCCCCATTCCCGCGATTCGAGTCGGCCAAGTCGAGACAACCGGTAAAAATTTATAGCACTCGAATTTTTTCGTCTGCCTTCTTTCGCTGTAATCGGAGTATGACCTTCGGAGTTGACAGCGGTATCATCGAAACGAATGCTCGGGTTATTCAAGCAACGTTGGTTTTGCATTTAACATCGCTGTTGAGTCAAAAGGACCAATCGCAGTATTGTTAATTAAGGCCACAAATGATATATGAAGCTTCGAATTTCCGAGGCTTCGTGGCGTCATATTCGAATAACGAAATTTAAATTAAATTAAATTAAATTAAATTTTAATTAAATAAAAAATTTATTTTAACGTGAATATTCGAACGATATTAATTACACAGAATCTTGTTGCATTCTCTGGAATTAGTTCTATTAAGAATCTCGAGCGCCTAAACGTCCGAAACTTTGAATAAACACAGAATTAGTTCTATTGAGACTTTCGACAGTTCGAGTTTCCAAGACTCGGAACTCCGAATTTCAAGTTCAAACGTCGAAGCTTCGCAGCTTCGAAAGCGCCATATAGGCTGAATACTCGAAACTTCGAAAGAATTAAAGATACTGATCAAATTGGACAAGCGCAAGATTAGTTCCACTAAGGGCTCCGATATTTCGAGTCCTCGAGCAGAGTCCGAAAATTCGACGCTCCGAATTTCGGCTTTAAACGTCGAATTATACCGAAGCTGCGGAGCCTCGAGTGTACCAAATATTATAGTATTACCTCGATCGTTCATCAATTGCATTTGATGCAATGATATTTTTGGTGAGGTGAGGTGTGAGACACGATAATATACAGGAACGGGGATACATGCTGAAGAATCTGCACGTGCTCGGGATGAGAATACCTGGGCGTTCTTGCCGCGCCGCGGCGATTTAACAGGACTCACCTCTTACGGCGTTAAACTGCATTTGATGTAATTCGCCCGACGGCCCATTGTACGTGCACGCAGAAAGTGAGAGGACGTAAGCTCCTCGTAATAGGCCGGCCGACATTACTTTCACAACGAGAGCAAGGTCTTATTTTCTACATTGATGAGTTTCGCTCTTCCTTTCCCGAGAGACGCCCGGCGGGCGCTTCGCGTCAGCGTGTCCTCCGCCGCCGAGAGGCCGAACGTATTAAACAATTTCCACCGCACTCCGCAATTTATGCAAATTCGAGCGCGCGTAAAACAAATCCGCCGAAACGAATCGCGCGTAATTCATACAGCGTACGGAAATTTATATAACGCAAATTTCATTTGCGCGGCCAAATTTCGCCTCCGAGAATCCGCGAGTATCGGGATTTCGAAGCGGAATTGGACAATTAAATGCAGATTCGTGCGCGTTAAAACAATATCGGCGTGGCTTGCGAATAATTTCACCGCCGCTAATTACCGCACGCCTCATTTCAGGAACGAAGGGAGATCCGTGAAACGGGAAGAGAAGGAAGGCGCTATGTCCACATAAGGAAAGATCGCGCGCTTTACTTGCCGTGCGAATTTTTTTTCACGCGGCGGCGCTGGTAACGTCAGGATCGTTTTTATCAGCGCTCTGTAAGTGACTTCATACAAGCGGAAGAAACCTTTCTTCTTAACCCGGAGTAGTGTTTTTGAGGAATGCTGCGACATCTGTCGCACAAATTACAAACATACTTGCGAAGTCAATCAAAAATTCCTCGCTGCTTATTTTATCGTCGTACAGTATCGTTTTCTGATTTACAAAAGTAGTTTCTTCTGTCCGTTAGCGATAACGTTGCGTTGATACTCGTCATATCGTCGTGTTCGCACCTCGTCGGATCGTTTTATTTAGCCCATAGGAGCAGGAGGAGCCGGAGTAGTAGTCGTCGTCGTAGACAGAGTAGTAGAGGCTGTAGTAGAAGGCGTCGTCATAGACGTAGTAGTAGAAGGCGTCGCCGCAGACGGAGTAGTAGAAGGCATCGTCGTAGACGGAGTGGTAGAAGGCGTCGTCGCAGACGGAGTAGTAGAAGGCGTCGTCGCAGACGGAGTAGTAGTTGTCACAGTCGGGGTAGCAGAAGTCGCGGTTGTCGCGGGCGTTGTGGTGCTGGTGGTCGTCGTTGGCGCTGTAAGTTTGAGCAAATGGCAGCGAATAAAATTAAGAAGAATGGATTTAAAACTCTTAAATAAATAAATAACAATAAAAGAGACAAAGTAAAAATGAAATACAAAAATAATCCACAAGAGGAGCAACGGAAGAGCTGAATATAAATAAATGAATAAAGTTGAATGAATAAAAGTAAACGAGCAAATATAAATCGTGCGACAGATTTGTCGGTGTGCGCGGTCCTTTAATCGACGCTCCGCGTCTCTCTGCGCAATCGATCGTTTCGCAAATGACATTGTCGAGGTTTCGTCCGATTTTGCGAGCGATTTAATTTCATGCATTATACCGATACTTACGTATTGTGTAATCCCCCTCCCCCTGCCCGCCCCCCCCCTCCCACGCACACTTTTGTAATTTCTATTTAAACCTAAATTTAATTTCGTTCTGCGCAATTGCGATTTTGTATTAATAACGCCAATCGACAGACGCGAACAGATTCCGAATATAAATGCGGAAAATTGAAGAATTATTGAATCGACCGAATCACTCGATTGCCTCTGACATCGCCAGGAAATAATTAAAAATAACGAATGATTCGTCGGAATCGATTATTCCTCCGACAGTCGAAGACCTCTTCGGCGTTTCTCGTTCTTATACCTGCGGTCGCATTGGTCGTCGGCGGCGATGCTGTCGATGACGCGTTTCCTGGTGCTTCGGTCGTAGCGTGCGGCAGATACAATTCGGGACACTTAGCGGCACACATGATATTCGAGATATACGGCATCTTGTCCGCGGATGTACACATGGGCGATTTGCAGAATAACTGCCGTAGATATTCCAGCATGAAGAAACCGAATCTCGCCTGAACTGGTTGGTCGTCCTGCCTCCCTTGCTCCTAAAAATGGCGTCTGTCGCTTGACACGCTTGTCCCCTATCAATTCTTCCCCAGACAGAAAAAATGACCGAATCGTGATGGATAGATGAGTTTTCCTCATCATTTTTACGTCATTTTGACGTCATCATGATTTTCTCTTCTGCCTGGGTCTTTACTGCTATCGCGGGTGACACGGGTAGCGCTAATTAGTACATCAAATTGTCATTATACCGAGTGTTTGGATTTAACTCTCATCCCCCTCTCGTCCGTCGCTGTGGAACTCTTCATCGACGGCGTCAAGAATATGCGCCAAAATTTCTTACAAAATACATTGAAGCACAAAAGCCGATGCATTCATCGGAAACACTCGCGATAAATGAGCGCAAAATTAACATTTACTTTTACATTAACATTAATTAACATTAACATTAATTAACATTTTACATTAACATTAACATTAATAATCATTTACTACTTTCTTAGTCTCTTTTCTCCTCTTTTCATAACTCTTTTCTTATAAGTCGCACGTTAACTTCACGCTTACTCATTGTTAGGGAATTATTAGAGAATTGTTAGAAAAGAAGAAGAGTGTTTATCGGCATCTATTTTGCAAACCTGCTCGATTCGCAAGTCAAGATGGCACTACGGCAAGGAAACGGCCGAGTTTGAAACTGAACAGAAAATCACTTCCAGCATTTTATAAACCATCACGGTAATTACGAAGATATTAATAGTAAAATAACAAAATGGGCGAAGGGGAGCGTGTGATGCAATGAGCTCTTCAGCCAAAGCCTCATCCACATACACAGCCCACGCTGCCCACGTTATTGTCAAAATAAACCCAAACATCTTGCATGAGACTTCGTCCGAACAGCTCGTTCCTCGTACCGCGCACCGATCAATCAATTGCCCTTCATTAATGCCTCGATAATTACCGTGATAATTCACAAATCAGTGCGGATGATTCTTCTATTTAATTTAATAAATTCTACCCGAGCGCGATCGCGCTCGGAGGGTGAGTCGAACCCGAACACTCTGCAGAGGCGAGAGGTGAACACTTGAAATTGATTAAATATAAATTCACGTCATACCTGCGCCAGGAACGTTCCGAACAACGTCAGCAACACAACGTAGATACTCAAGCGTGACATTGCCGTTTCTTTCTAGAAATTTCCGCTTTACTAAATCTCCTGCTCGTCGTTGCAGTTCGCAGCTGTAATGCTTCTGGGCGAGCGCGCCGCGTATTTATATAGACACGAGATTTCGAAAAATCCGAACGTGACAAATCAGCGCAGCGACATATTACTCACTACCTTCTCTGGATCTGTTTTCGTAGATTACAGACGTCCCTTATCTCGCTCATTAGACATTCTGAAGACGTTACAATATGCCAGCGCGACGCGCAGATATGCACGCTTTATCGCGCACAATTGTCCCACTTTTCGAATCCTTCGGAACTTTTTATTGCTTATTTATGTTTATCTTTGCGTTAAATTATTATTTCTTTCTCACTGCAAAGAGATCTCACCGTGAAACAGAGGCGAGGCAGAGGCGAAGGAGGGAGTGGAAAGCAAATGACCTCAGATGTCTCATCAATGATAAAAGTATTTTGTTCTAAATATCTCGCGGCTCTGACTTCATCCAAATTCGTTAGCGATATCGACACATGTAACTTTAGATAGCGTCCTTCCTTCTTTCTCCTCTCTTCTTTTCAATCCGAGCGTTGTCGACGGAACATTAGAAAAAAAACTGAAAATTCAATTTAAGTCAGATTGTAATTTAAGTCAATTACCGCGGCTGAATATTCGTCGCAAAATTGTACGAGGAAAACCAATATCTCGTCGCATGATTAACAGATGTGAACTTACAATCACATCCGTGTTTACGTAATTTTACAGTCGAATCATTTTACTCTTATTGTTTGATTAGGTGTTGCGTTAGGATAGATTAGGTGTTCCGGTTAATTTCCGCTATTCGCGTTTAACTCATTAATGCCTGCTGGGACAGAAATTTCACGTTGATTTCAATGTTATGAATTTTTATGAAAATGCTCGAAAATTTTAATCCAAAGTACATTACTAGAGGTTTTCGAGGTCGTTCTTTCCGAATCCGCTGCGAGAATCATAAGAAAATGAATGTTTGTATTGATTTGAAACGGTCTTTTTCCAAAAAATGCGATATTTTCTCGTCAATTTTTTTTTAAATCATGGATTTCATCTTGGTAAAAATGTTGAATATTACTGAAAAGTACTCCAATCGTGTCCTCGAGACTTGTAATTTCAAAAATACATATCTGGACGTAAAATTTTCTGTGCTTTTCAAATCTGTAATAAAAAATATAAGTTTTGCACCAAAAAATCAACATTGGGCCTCGTTAGGCCAAAAAATATATCGAACCCAAATTTTGAGCCTACCACGTGAAAGAACTCGATCAACAGGACAACTTTTATTTTGAATAATTTTTCATAAAAATGCATTCATAACGAGTTATTCGACCGAGTTATACATATGGTCGCCATATTGAAATTACTAAATTGTAAACAATTTCAGAACCACATATATTTTAAGTACAAGTCTCGAAGACACGAGTTTGGAGTACTTTTCAATAATATTCAACATTTTTATCAAGATAAAATCCATGATTTAAAAAAAAATTGACGAGAAAAAATCGCATTTTTTGGAAAAAAACCGTTACAAATCAATACAAACATTCATTTTTTTATGATTCTCGCAGCGGATTCGGAAAGAGCGACCTCGAAAACCCCTAGTAATGTACTTTGGATTAAAATTTTCGAACATTTTCATAAAAATTCATAACATTGAAATCAACGCGAAATTTTTTTCCTAGCCGGCATTAATGGGTTAAATGGCTCCAACTGCAAATATAGTCAACCGTGACAGCTCGAACTCATGCTGTATCAAAGGTTAGACGTTTTTCAACAGAATTCAGCCCACCAAGGTTTACTTTTGCAAGCAGTGATATTGTTTTTAAATCAATTCAAAATGGAACGCAATAGTTGTTTTCTTTTTATACGCTCCACCACTTTGGTGTAAAGAAAACTACAGCTGAAACGTATAGAATATTAGTGGAAACTTGTGGTGACTCTGCTCCATCAGAACCAACATGTAGAGATTGCTTTCGGCGATCAAAAAATGGTAATTTTGTTGTGAAAGACAAGGAACGTCCAGGTCAGGCAAAAAAGTTTGAAGTCGCCGAACTGTAAATATTATTGGACCAAAATCAATCTCGAACTCTCAAGGAATTGGCTGAGGCACTAAATGTTGCAGTTTCGACAGTTTCTGGCCGTTTACACGCAATGGGAAAAGTTCAAAAGGAAGGAAAGTGGGTGGCACGTGAACTGACCGAAGCAAACATGCTGAACCATGTATCCATCATCATTGCTCTAATTACCAGACAGAAAAAGAAAAGTCTTTACCGGATTGTCACTGGTGATGAAAAGTGGATCCATTATGACAATCTTAAACGCCAAAAGTCACGAGTGGACTCAAGCCAACCATCCACATCGGCGCCAAAACGCAATATTCATGGTCATAAGACATTGCTCTGTATTTGGTGGGATCAGAAAGGTGTTGTTATATTATGTTATATTATGTTATATTATATTATGTTATATTATTGGGGACTTGAATAAGTTCTCGCTGCTTTTTCGTGAAAATGAATGCTTTATTTAAAAAAAATTAGTAAAGAACATGTCATTGAAAGTATTGTCCATCGCTAGCCACTACTTTATCCCATCTTTCTTTATCCCATCATACGAATACCATGTCGAAAGAACGACTCATCTTTTGAGGTTATCCATGAATCGACCCATTTTTGGGCATCTTCATAAGAATGGGAGTGCTGCTCAGCCAGGCCATAAGTCATCGATCGGAACAAGTGGTAATCGGAAGGAGCAATGTCCGGTGAATACGGCGGATGGGATAGGACTTCCCATTTTAGCGTTTCCAAGTAGGTTTTGACCGGTTTTGCAACATGTGGCCGAGCGTTGTCATGCTGCAAAATTACTTTGTCGTGACTCTCCTCGTATTGCGGCCGTTTTTCCTTCAATGCTCGGCTCAAACGCATCAATTGTAGCAGACAGCGATCTCCCGTGATGGTTTCGTTGAGTTTGAGGAGCTCATAATATACTACACCCAGCTGATCCTCCCAAATACAGAGCATGAGCTTGGAACCATGGATATTCGGCTTTATCGTCGATGTTGATGTATGGCCGGGCTTACCCCACGATTTTCTACGCTTCGGGTTATCGTAATGTATCCACTTTTCATCGCCAGTCACGATACGACGCAAAAAACCTTTTCTTTTCTGCTCTGTTGGAGCAGCTGTTCACACGTGAAAAACGCCGTTCGACGACTGTCGGCTTCAATTCGTACGGCACCCAATTTCCTTGCTTTCGAATCATTCTTAATGCTTTTAAACGTTTGGCAACTGTTGTGTGATCAACTCCTAATGATTCTGCAAGTTCATTTTGCGTCTGACATGGGTCTTCTTCGAGTAATGCTTCCAATTCTTCGTCTTCAAACTTTTTCGGTGCACCAAAGCGTTCTTTATCTTCAACATCAAAATCATTATTTTTAAAGAGTCTAAACAAATCTCTGCATGTTGTTTCCGACAGAGCATGGTCGCCGTAAGTCTCCACAAGAATTCTATGTGCTTCAGCTGCAGATTTTTTTTGAAAAAAGTAATGCAGTAAAATTCCCCGCAAATACTCTTTTTTGGCACGAAATTCGACATGTTTAACGCTATGAAGAAATATATTGTTTACGCTTCGGCGGAATAACATATACTGTCACTTCGAGCCTAATGGTGGAGCTTCGCGATGAAGTTGGCTGTAGTATTGCCCGATGCAAAGAGGCTAAGATAACACCATCTGTCGGGAAACAGCGAGAACTTATTCAAGTCCCCAATATATTATATTATGTTATGTTATATTATTATATAGGTGTTGTTATATTATGAGCTCTTAAAACCAAAAGAAACTGTTACGGCTGACCGGTACCGACAACAATTATACAGTCTGAAACTAGTGTTGGATCCAAAACTACCACAAATCGCACACAACGAAAAAAAAGTGACTCTGTTGCACGACAATGCCCAGCCACATGTTGCAAAAGTCGTCAAAGAAACGCTGATAGAGTTCGAATGGGAGATTCTTCCGCATGCCGCGTATTCTCCAGACCTGGCCCCGTCTGGTTACCACTTGTTCCATCACGGCCTTCAAGACACACGCTTTCGAAGAAGTCCGAAATGTGGGTGGACGAATGGATTGCTTCAAAACCTGAGTCGTTCTAACGCCGCGGAATTCATCTCTTATCAGAAAATTGAGAAAAAATAACGATGGAAAACACAAAACGATGGAACAATGGCAAATATTTTCATCGATTAATCAACTTATTTTGCGATTGAAATAAATGTGTTTTTCGTCCCTGAGCAGCGTGACGCTCTAGATGAATGAGTAAATCTATTTCCATGGACACGCGTGTCTACAATGTTACGGGAGAGTATTGTTTCGCGCGCACGCGCAACGTCATACGCGAAGCTCGCACGAGCGAGACGCTGATGACCGCGTCTCCTTTACGACTTCATCTCGTCTTGGAACATTGCGACGCGTGACCGGAATATGAAATGGGACATCGCCGTGGGAGTTAAGGAAGTCGGAATATATGATTTTTACCTAGAATCTCCTCGGTACTCTCCAACGCATCGCCGATTAGTCGAATTAGCACAAGAAAAGTATCGCTTAGCGAGCATACTTATCTTTACGGCCCGGTCGTATGCAACCCGTTGCTCGCGCTCGTAAAGCGCCAACTTTTTCTGCTGGTCGTAAAAAAAAAAAAAAAAAAAAAACAGCCGTTAGATTTATACGCGAACGTCGCGGCAAGTCCGACTCGCAGACGCGCGTTCGTCGTTAATCCGAATATTCGCGCACGACGAAAATGACTCAAATATCGCAGAGAAACGCCGAAGGTAAAGATCAACGTGCGGTCATTGGGAGTCTTCTTGGAAGCGCGATGCTCGATAACGCACGCCTTTATACAGACGAACAATCTCTCGGGCGAGTTTTCCGCGAACGTTCTCTTAATCATACGGCTGAATACACTCGGACAGGACTTTTCGCGCAGATCGCGAAACTACGTCACGGATGGAGGTAGGTAGGAAGGTGCTGCCTGGCCGAAAGGTGATAGCTACGACGTGATCACGTTAGCAATGAAGTCGGGGGATCCCAACGGGTCGATAACAATGAGAGCGACAACGAGCGCCGTCCAGAGTATTCCGAGCTCGAGTTGTCGTTCGTCTCTCTCTCTCTCTTTCTCTCTCTCTCTC